GGTTCTGGCTTGGAGCTATGTCTATTTAACAAGATTGATTCAATTATTCTGTGGCTGTTTCCTTTTTTGTTTAAAATAATCCAATAGCTGCAAAAGCAATCTGGGAATTTCATGGTTTATGGGATCCAGTATTCAAGACAGGAAAAGAAATGATAACCAAACTGCATTTGTGGATAAACCATTTCTATAATCAAAATGTCTATGATGAAGGTAAGTGGGGAAATATTTATTACTGTCCTTGTTTAATCTAAATTCCTTTTTTATCAAATTAACCTAGAGTGCACACAACTCAAGTTAATGAATAAGTGATGCCCATTTCTGTTTTAAAGCGCTGGGCTAGAGAAACTGTCCCCTTAGATGGAGCTGTAAAGCTGACTACCACTTGGAATTGGTACTTAGATTTCCACAAACACTTGTCGCATAATCCATATATAAGTAGGATGAAATAAGGTGCATACTTCTTTCTTTCCATGGAGCATATATATTTCATATAACTGGGGAGTGTGAAGGGGGAGAAAGGGTGTTTGTGGCATACAGAACCAACAATAGATGAAACAGCTTCTGAAAAATAAAGTAGATGTTGCCAACTAATTCATAACTTAGCTGCTCATCTTTTCTCAATCAAAGGTTGAGAAAAGGGAAGGCAAGTATTTTTCATGGCTCCTTCCCTGGCAACCATGAACAATACTCACAGGTATATGAGCTGAAAGCACCAGCCCAACAATTACGGTGAAGAAGAGCCACTCCCCAGTCTTCTTATCATGTATTCAATCTTGGAAATTAGCCATGAGAAACAAGAGGGATGCAAACATGATGTAGTTGATGAGCTGTGCATGATGTATTGCAAGAAAGAAAGTTCTTATATGGAAGAAATCAGTTTAAGCCACCATAGAAAAAAGTCCTTTTCATTATTATATGAGTTCCAAGCTTTGACATTGGTCAACACGGCATGGATCTTCATGGTTTATGGATTAACGTAGAAGAAAAAGAGTTCCAGCAGAATCCAGGTCTACAAAGGACAAAAGGATTCAGTGGGAAATGCTTGTCAAGCTGTTGGGAATACAGGATTCTATCAATAACCGATTGAGTAGAGGCGGCTAGCACTGCTGTTGTACCCCAGCCATATTTGTAATTGCTGTGAATATGTATAAACTTGAATGTCCACATGCCACTCTAGCTTCCTGACCAGATTACAGCCTCAGCAGCAACTGTACAGGTTAGTTAGTTCAAATTCCCCATCAGCATAATTCTGACTTCACCTTCATCTCTCATCATGTCCTCAGTGGTTATTAGGAGTTCCCAGGATACTCACTCTCTTACTCTCTGGTCCCATCCTTTAAGCTGCTGCCCACAGATTTTGTGAGGCAGCCACCTCCCCTTCCTGCTGCTGCTCCATCCTATACGGAGCTCCAGTGGAATGGCTAGCATCTCCACCTTCGAAATCTTCCAGAGCCTTGTGGTTGCAGTCTTGTGTTCTGCACAGAAACACAAGAATGTTTCTTCTCATGAATTCTGTGCAATATTGTGTCACCTGGGCCTTTATGCAGTACTGTAGGTGCCAGGAGTGATTCTGGGTCCTTGTCAAGCAGTCCTTATAGCTTCTCAGGAGTCAGAGCCCATCTCTTGGGTCAGCAGAGGAACGAAAATGCTCTGCCCTCATCTCCTCACTCATCATCACTTTCTGTTCAATACCCAGCTCTCCCTCCCTCCTTCCTGCTGCCTTCAAATACTTCTTTTCAGCCAAAAGGAGCAAACCAGAAAAAGCTGCCAAGCATAGGAATGGCAATCTAGGAGGAGGAGGGATGAAGGGCCACCAGCCTGCCACACCCAGCTTCTAGTGTTCCTTATGCTGAGCTGTCATATGAAGAAGTTGTTCTCAAAAAGTTCACTCCTGTTGGGAATGAGTCTCAGAAGGCAACGTACCCACTGGGACAAGGCACACAGCAAGCATTTTCTGGTAGATGCTTCCACAGGCTCTTGCCCCAGGAATCAGGGCTTTCAAAGACCCAGAGACCAACACTGCTGCTCATTTTCAGGGCCCTGAGTAGGCTTAGGATGGACCTGGATGGGTTCAGGTGCAATAATCTGACGCAGCGTTACCTGGAAGACATCCACCTGGAGCTCTCCAGGAAGCTGGCTCCTTTTTAATTCGCTGTTTTTATAAGACATGTGTCTGACAAAATCTTGAGATCTCGACATCAAGTAAGCAGAGCAGGGAGGAGCAGATCTTGACATCAACTAAGCAGACTGGAGACAGTCTTCAGGACAAGAAACTGCCATTCAGTGACTGTGAGCATGGGTGATTTGCTTAACTCTCCTATCCAAGCCTCAGTTTTCTCATCTGTAAAATGGAGAGGAAATAATAGCTAGAGTTTTCAGTGAAGACTAGGTGAAATAACATTTATAAGGGAGTGATCTCAGGTACAGTAGGTGGTCAGTAACTGTTGGTGACCATTTACCAGCATCACAGACAAGCCTGGAGCTGACTAATGCAAATGTTAATGTCTCCTTCAGAGAATACGTCCCCTAAAGTCATCGTTAAATGAAAGTAGGAGCAGACACTAAGCACTGTCACCTACAAAAAGGAAAGATAGATGCTGCAGGCATGGCAGTGAGTTGCCCAAAGGCTGAGGATTCTGATAGGAGAAGGCTGTAGGAGCCAGACCAGGATTGCAGCTCAAGTCGCTGATATGGAAGCAATTAAAGAATGTGATAAAGGTTCTCTTTCAGCTATATGTAGTTTGATTTAAAATGAAAGCGATAGGAAGAGACCTGGTGACATTTGGAAGGTATAAGAGGTCTGATTTTAAGTTCAGAAACATACAAGAGTCATGTTAAACACAAGGGGAACTGTTGGGTGGTGGGTGGCTCTGTGCGGATGAGAGCCTCAAGGGAAAGCGAGTTACTGACACTACAAGGATCCTCGGAGGTAGAACTTACTGGCTTGGCTGGGCTCACTTCATCTCCTGCAGCTGAGTAGGGAGGTGTGAGCAGGAATGTGGAAGAGACCCAGACCAGACTTCACAGATGCACTGAGTGTCCCTGATGACCCACTATGCTGTTCTCCTGAGGGCACCGCATGTATCATGCAGGCGTTCCACGGCCCAAGAGCACAAAGTCAGCCTCACTGCTCATCAGCTCGAGTGAACATGACACTTGGGATGGCCTGTGCGTCTGGAGGGGAACACAAGAAGGAGACTCACAGGCATTTTCCAAGGCAGTTAGAAGACAAATGGAAGAGCATCAAATGAAAACCAAGTGTCCCTGTCTCCATTTTGCAGATTGTAATCTGTGAATGGGTAACTGATACTGAAAAATAATAACAGAGACAGATATAATAAGGTAATATTTTGAAAATTATGAGTGTGGATTATTCTTTGCCTTTCTGAGTTCATGATCTTCACCCACCTTGGCCTGAGGCAACCACCTGCACAGGAAATCAAGATTTGTTTCAGAAATGAACAGGGGAAGATTGAGGTTGTACTTGGTTTCTGACAATGTAGGAACTTTTAGCAACAGCTTTACTAATACTCTAAATCACTTTATTCCTTACATTTTTTCTTCTATGGTATAAAGAAAATAATCCTCCTAGCTATGTTGTGACTAGAGGAGCAAGTCAATAAAGCTTATGGTTCTACTGCGGATGAAAGGCCTTACACAGAAGAAGGCGGTGGGAACCGGAAGGAAAGAGGAGACCAGGGAAAAAGAAAGGGAGGAGGGGAAGACCATTACACTGTGTGACCATTTCATTGTGCAACAGACAATGCCTGTCTTATCTGGGCTTCAGCCTAGCCTGGTGTGGATATCACAGATCAGACCATCAACATTCAGACTGAGGACAGATAGGTGCTCTTGGGACTATACCAGCCTGTACACAGTCGCAACAAAATCAGCTTGGTTGTTTGGCAAAGTTAGGGGGAGAGAGGCCTAAGTTTTAGCTTCCCTGGACCACTCTTGGTTCCAAACAGCACAGAAGAGACCCAAGTATACTGAGAATCTGGCTGGGGTCCATGCGCAGAGCATCACCCTCCCTGGGGCCAGGTGGCTCTGGATTGAGGGCTTTGGCCTAGACAGGAGCCAAATGAGAGTCACCCTCAGAATTCAAAAGGCTTCATAGCACCCCTGGGAGAACAGTTGGAAGCTAAGTGTCCTGCAAAGTATGACAGGCATTGACAAAGAGGGAGAAACAACAGCCAGAATGCAGCCACAGAGGTTCACAGCATGCAAGACATTATTCCAGAAGCCAGGGAGCCAAAGGACACCATGTCTGAGGACCCTGATTTTGCTTCCACCATGAGATCTTATAAGTCTCACCATTCTTACCACTTACCCAGATGACTTTTTAAAATGAAACCAGGTGCTAAGCAGATGACACAAATCTGAGAGATAAATAGTGTTGGGGTTCTTTTCCTAAAAGACTGAGCTGAAGGTGCCTTTTTAAGACTGCAAATCAGAATCCAAAGTATTAAAGTTTGTTGCTAATTGTATTGGCTTGTTTTTCTCCAAGTAATTAGTGGCAACAAAACCAGATTAGTTACAGGAAAAAAAAAAAGAGCTACATAGTCTCTGCATATTATGGCTAAAGTTATGAATGAAATATGCAGTCCTACTCTGTAGCTGAATAAAATGAGAAGTGGGAACGGACAGACGAACCAGGAGATATACCAGGCATTTGCTCCTCATCAAGGTGAGCCAGGAATGGGGTGATCCACAGCAATAGCAAAGAATGACAATATTAAATGTTGACCTTGTTCCTATGTATATTTTTTGGGAGATTACATGAACATGGATGAATGTCACTAATGAGCTCACCCTAAGAGACGAGGCTGATATCATTTAAAAAAAAATGCTTATGGTCAGTGACTAAGCAGTAAACACATCTACTGCCTGAATTCAGGAAGTGATGTTTCACAGTGCTTCTCAGTCATTAGTTATACACACGCACCTACATCAGATATCTGCTACCACATAACCAATAGCTTAAAATAACAAACACTTACAGTCTCTGAGGGTCAGGGATCCCAGAGCAGCACAGTTGGGTAGTTGGGTGGTTCCAACTCAGGGCCTCCCAGTTAAGCTGTTGCCTTGCAGTCTGCAGTCCCGTGAAGGCTGGGTCTAGAGGATCAGTTCCAAGATGCTCCCTCTCATGGCTTTTGGCACAAGGCCTTAGATCCTTGTCATGGGAGTTTCTTCATAGAACAGTCAGAGGGTCTTCATGATGTGGCAGCTGGCTTTCTCAGAGTGAATGATCTGAGAGAGAGAGAGAAGCAGAAATGACATCCCATCACTTTTCAGTATTCTATTAGTCCCAGTGACCAACTGTAATACAACATGAGACGTGATTACACAAGGCAAGAATACCTGGAGCTGGGATTGCTGGGGCCATCTTGGAGGCTGCCCATATGAGTCCTTGTAAAGGAGAAAAAATTCAACAGACTGCCCCTGCCCCCAATAAGTTCTTTGTGACTTGAACTTGCAAAAACATGAAACTAAATTACAAACCCCTTTGGCATAAATAAGTTGTACAAAAATACACTATTACATTTTAAAGCTTTGTTTTGCTCATTCAGAATAATCAGGCCTCACAGAAATCTGAACTCTTCCCAATCCCAAGATACACATTTTAATAAGGTGTCCCTTGATAATTCCACAACCATCTAGCTTGCTCACTGGAAGATAAGTTTCACATTGCAGTGTTATTGAAAGCTGCATTAAATAGATATCTAATCCACTTACTGCTAGAATCAACAGAAAATTCTGCATTGCTTTTTTACTGCTACGCTTTTTGCTGATGAATGGCTGCAAGTTTGCCTGTGCAAAAATGGAATCTGCATAATACATCTGCTCCCAACATAAATATGGTACTGGCTGCCACAGCACAAATTCTTTGGATTTCGGCATGCCTATATTCTGTAAGCCCCAAAATGATTCATTTCCCCTCTCCCCTTTTTGATCTGAACTACTGTAAAATCTTTTTTTTCAGAATGCTATGATATCATTTGCCTTTGCTTGGCATAAAAAAGATCATAAATGAAACTGCTAAGCGGCCACTGAAATCACGTGGTGATGCTCAGTTTGAAGGCGGATCTCTAGATGGTACACAACATACTCATATTAATTAATTCTAATAACAGATATTAAAAAGTGACCTCAACTTGTGTCCTACTAGTACAAATGTTTTCTCAGCATGCAACTGTTTCCTGAGGTTTCGATTTATGCTGAGAAGTCCAATCGCATGAAAAAGTGCCAGTTTTCATTTACAGGCACATCAGGATGTTACCCCAAGAGAAGGGGGGGAAAGGCATCCCCAGAGATCACAGCTGGGTCTCCACCAGTAGCGCTGGTTCCATTAGTCCTGCCGGTGTGGGGGTCATGCTGAGACCCAGGGGCCTTCTGTTCTGACTCCCTCTTTCTTGTTTCCTGTCTAGATTGTGAGACTACCCCACCTTCATGCCAGGTCCAGCAAGATGACAAGTCATCATTTTGAAGGATTAACTGAAGGGGCAGAATGACTGTGGGGATTAGGAAGCAGTTGCTATGGTAAAGTTGGTCAGTATTGGAAAATAGTTTTCTTATGTTTGAGGAGATTTTGAACCACTTGCCACTGAACTTCCTTTGACCATCCAGAAAAATACTCTTTGGGCCTGAGAGCTGCTTAACAAAGGATTTTGTAGCTTTGACATGAGCATGACTTTCAAGGATGGGACATTGGGACCATCAGCCACAGTCCATTATATTCTAACAGTGAGTGTATCAAGACCCCTTGGCTATGTGAGCAGGTAAAATAATCCTCAAAAAATGTTCCCTAGCTTTGGCCCTCACCTCACAGGAACCCAGGAGATGGAGCTCTGACATTAGTTGCTCAGCTCTGTCTGTTGGTTTATGGCAGCTGACATCAACACCAGTCCTGGAGAGATATAGCTCATGGGTCTTCCTGTTTACCCTCTCTCTTGCCTGCTGTTAGGAGATGAATGGCCACTTACTCATTGAGACAAGAAATTAAATCTCTCACATAGAGCCAAGAACACACCAACTTTAGGCCTTTGTTAAATCACAGCTGCAGATGGAGAAAGGCTCCCTACCCCCACCTCTATCCCACCCCCAGTTTCTGGCTAATCAGTATGTGGCTTGGGGGTACTTTGCAGAAGGACTTGGAGGACTGTAAAGCCATGCGTGCAAAATACTGATGTCGACTCTGCTCCAGGCCTTTGCTTTTTAAAAACATGCTTTCAAAACCCTAAACATTTGGAGGGAGGATGGCTGCAGACAAAGAGAAAGAAACTGCTTTGTTATGAAATCCCTTGGGATAATTCTCTGATGTACTCAGGATTCAGTTCTGGTGGGGAAGTTCCCAGAAATCCATTTTACTGAGTGTCACATTCACTCTTTGCTGCTAAACTGCTTCAGGGGATCCGAACTAAAGCATCATGAAGCGAAGGAGGAAAGGAGAACAAGGAAATCCTCACAGCAGCAGAGCAGGCTTGGGGCGCCCACAGCCAAACCCAACCCGCCAGCAGTCATCTCAGGTTCCCTGTGCTGCTGAGACACGGCTGGGTTCCCTTTCATTGACGATGAAAATGCATCCTGTAGAGACCACGAAAGGGATCCCTGGAAGTGAGCTGCCTGTTCACACTTTAGCCACGTGGGCTGGGAGGAGACAGCAGGGGCTAGAATCTCATTAGACCTGCAGCCAGGAAGTGGCTTAAAGCATTATTAGGTCATGAGGTTGTGAAGGTCACTGGCCAGGCTGCCTCTCTGGAACCCTGTGGTTCCTGATGACAGGTTCTCTTGACCAGGTAAGGAACAGAGCTGCGGCTGGCAGCCTGAAGCACAAGAGCAAGCAGCCCAGCTCGGCTCAGGAAGGTGACGGCACACTGGGCTGAATTGTGGGGGTGTGGGGTGCAGGGGGCAGCAGCAGTAACAACCCTTACTGTCCACTGCACTAGGGGAAAGGCTATCCCCGGTGTTACCACCGCTCACAGTTCCGGAAGAGTGCCTGCCTGCCCTGTCATCACCCTGACATCTGAAAGAGACACCCATCACTCCGCGTGCTCAGGCTGAGTTACCTATCCCTTCATTTCCAAATGGGACCCTGTATTAGTTCCCTCAGGATGTATAACAAAGTGCCACAAACTGTGTTGTCTCAAATGATGGAAATTTATTCTCTTACAGTTCCAGTGTCTAGAAGTCCAAGATTAAGGTGTTGGCAGGGCCAGGCTTCCTTCAGCGCCTTTTGGGAAGGACTTTTCCCGGTTTCTTCGCACATCTCATAACCCTAGGTATTCCTTGATTTGCAGCGGCCTCATCTGCCTTCCTGCTATGTCTTTATGTCTTTACATGGCATGTCTGTCTTTGTCTAAACTCCCTTCTTATAATGACACCAGTCTTAATTAAACTGATCTTAAACTGATTATATCTTCAAGACCCTATTTCCAAATAAGGGTCATTTACAGAAACTGCCAGGTAAGGATTTCAACATATCTTTTTGAGGAACATGATTCAATCAACAATAGGCCCATTCTTCACTCTGTACCAAGATGGGAACACACATGACTTTCACAGGTTCACAGGGGGACAAACCCTGCTCCCTGACAAGCTCACTGGACACCAGGCAGATGGTCAACCAAAGTCGAGGTGTTAAAATGGAATCATTGAAGAAGTGGAGGGCAACCCTGTGCTCTTGGAAGTTGAGGTCAGCTTAGGATCCTGAGCCTGACAATGGCTTTCATGGTTATTCCTGTCTTCTTTCCTGAAGTTCCAGAGGAGAAGGTGTAGACCTTCACCAACAAAGTTAGCTGGGCGGGGCTGTCCTTCCTGCGGCCTCAGAAAGATGGATCCTGGCTGTCTGTTCAGTAGTGTTCTTGAAGACCTCTAGACCTACTGGGAAAAGCCTTCTCAGCTTGGGAATCACTCACTCAGTCTGCAGAACTCAGAGAAAATGTGCCTGGTGAGACGTGCCTGCCTTAGCTCTCCCAACAGAGGCTGTTCCTTAGGACTAGCACAGCCCTTTTGCATTGTCCTCATGTCAGGAGCCTGCCAGAAACTCTTCCAAAGGGTGGTATTCTTGTGCATCGAAGCCACAGGGTGGAGATCTCACTCTCAGAAACAGAAAAGAACCAAACACCACACTTCACCACTTGCGTGCTTTCTCTAGGATGTTCAGAGGGAGGCTCCGATGCTTTTCACCAGATGCTAATACTGTGTTGTCTAAAACATCACCCTTCATAACTGGATTAAGGCTACTGACTTTGAAACAGCAATTTTCTTTTTGGAAGCAAGGATACGGTTAATATCAAGTGCTATTGTTGTTCAATTTCTAAGTCACGTCCTATTCTTTTGCAACGCCACAGACTATAGCCTGCCAGGCTCCTCTGTCCATGGGATTTCCGCAAGAATACTGGAGTGGGTTGCCATTTCTTTCCCAAGGAGATCTTCCCGACCCAGGGATTGAACCCATTGGCAGGCAGATTCTTTACCCCTGATCCACCAGGGAGGGCGAATATCAGGTGAGAAAAGGTTAATGGGCAAACAGCAGAATTGGGAGAATGTACTTCTCACAGCCAAGGGGGAGAAAAAAAAACAAAAACAGAAACATGGAGAGATTTGGTGTTCATTCCAAAATTCTTTCCTATATCTGGGGATTATTTCTCTCTCACATCTTGAAGCCAGCTTGGTCCTTAAAAATATGTGACTGTCATTTAGTCACTTGCTGGGGGGTTTACATATATGATCTGGCAGACCCCTAAAAAGATGGCCTAGCATGGCAAGTCTGGTCCCAGGTCCAGACTGTTGGGCTCACGTCCACATCCTACCTTCTATCTCCTCATATGACTCCAGGCAGGCTGGCAAGTCTCTCTGCTGTGAAACAGGAGATCTGAGCACCGACTTCCCACAGTGATTGCAAAGGTTAAAAGAAATAACCTGTAGAAATGCTCAATAAATGTTAGCTCCTATTGTTAGGTAGGCTTCCCTGGTGGCTGAGTGGTAAAGAATCTGCCTGCAATGCCGGAGAAGCCAGGAGGTGCACGGTGGAACCCTGGAGGAGGGCATGGCAACCCACTCCAGTATTCTTGCTTGGAGAATCCCATGGACAGAGGAGCCTGGTGGGCTACAGTCCATGGGGTTGCAACAAGTCAGACATGACTGAAGATGACTGAGCACACATTGTTAGGTACTATAACTATTCCCACTTTATATAAAAGGAGTCTGAGCTTTGGCAAGAATGAATTGTTTGCTCTGTTCACAACTAA